ACATAAAACTTGCTACGTTACGCGCCCTATCAGACGCTCTCCACCAAAGTCCTTCCCATAGACTTACGCTTGAGGCAAAAGCTAATGATTGTTATGCACACCCAACGCTCTACTCTGCTGCAACTTCTAGATGACTTAAGGAAAGTTTTTAAAGAGCACATTAATATTCATAAAACGTCCCATTTTAAAACACCCCAATTTTTCCTAACTTTATATTCAAAGCAGATCTTAACGAATTTAACTAAGTGAAATATTTTTTTTTTCATTCATTCATTTCAACCTATCAGAGTCGACTGCTGAGTGTAAACCTCCTCATTAATTGCTTCATAGTTGAGATATTTGCCGCGCTTAGCAAGCGGGCTGTAAGGTTTTTTTATTTATTTTCTAGTTAGTATTAGAAAGATGCTGCTGTGCAACTCCTGTTTTATTTCTTCTGTCGCGTCTTTTGATTCCCACCGGATGATATGCGCTGGTCGAAATTCTTACAACGCTACCGCCATGATATTGGTGTAACTACACGGTATTGGCAGTGTAAGAATATTTTCTTTTAATTTAATCTATATATTATACTATATATTACATAAATTAAATAATATTACATAATTTTACTATGACATAAATTACATTTATTTTTCTTCTTTAATTTTCCTTTTCTATTATAATATAAACTATATAAATTAAAGTTATTTTCACACGTATATAAATGTAAAGCAAATAACAAACGAAATGAAGACAGACGTAAAATTAAATTACGGTATAAAATATATTTTTTTAATATCCTTCTAAAATTAAAGACGATAATAAATTTGTTTCCAATGGAACAGACATTTGTAATGTTTTCGCTAGTCATTTTTCGTCAGTATACAGTCGCAATAATAATATCCAAAACTTCGATACTAGTCCTAATCTTATGAACCCTTGTTGCAATGTGTACCTTGATTATATATCTTATACAGTGGACCAGGTTTACAATGTTTTAAAAAGACTTGACATTAAGAAAGGAGCTGGAGCAGATGGCATTCCATCAATATTTGTACGCAATTGCGCTAACGCATTGGCTTTGCCTATTGCACTGATAATCAATAGATCTCTTAGGACTAGTACATATCCAACCTTATGGAAAGAAGCCCTTGTGTTGCCTTTGTTCGAAACCGGAGACAAAGAGGAAGCTAAAAATTATAGACCTATTTCCATTATTTCTGTTTTTTCAAAAGTGTTTGAGAAACTTTTATGTCCCGTTGTTTCATGGCACTTTAAGCAATTTGTTACATCTGAACAGCATGGGTTTGTGAAAGCTCGATCAATAGTAACTAACCTAGTTTCCTTTGTGGAAGACATTACTGAATCTCTTGATACCGGTCAATCCGTTGATGCAATCTACACAGATTTCAGTAAGGCCTTTGACAAGGTTGATCACTCTATTTTACTTGCCAAACTCAAAAGGATAGGTATAGCAAACCCTTTGCTGGACTGGTTTAAGTCATATCTTGCCAATCGGTCGTCAACTGTTGTTGTTGATGGTTATGCTTCTGAGCCGTTTTTTGCCTATACTGGCGTACCTCAAGGATCTCATCTTGGGCCTTTACTGTTTAACATTTTCATCAACGACATCAGTAATTGCTTTAAGAATTCGAAATCTTATTTGTTTGCTGACGATATAAAGATCTTTAGACCTGTCTCCTCAAATTCTGATGCAGAATTCTTACAGGAAGATTTAAATAACTTGACATTATGGTGTCGTAGCAACGGTATGACACTAAATGCTGACAAGTGTCATGTTATAAAATTTTCTAGAAAGAAAACATCTCTTGCAACAACATATTACATTAATGGTCGTATTCTGTCTGAAGTTCCCCACATACGCGATTTAGGAGTTATGCTTGACAATAAGCTTCGTTATAATATCCACATAGATAATGTTGTCAACAAGGGTTTTAGGACTCTTGGCTTCCTCTTCCGTAACTGTAAGCAATTCAGGGATACTCGCACTAAAATAATTATTTACTCAGCCTTGGTACGAAGTATCTTGGAATACTGCAGCGTAGTATGGAATCCCCACTTTAATATTTACTCACATAGAATTGAAAGGATACAAAAGAGATTTCTTTTGCATTTATCTTACGATCATAACCTAGTTAAAACTCTTAGAACTTACGAAGATAAGCTAAATTACTTTAAGCTTCAGCCACTTTCGAATCGAAGACAGCTCCTTGACCTTATTTTCTTGTATAAGTTGGTGAATGGCGTCATTGATAGTTCTTACTTACTAGCCAAATTAAATTTTCGTACCGCATTGAAGTCAAAAAGGCCGTCGTCTTATATACCATTCGTAGAAAAGAGCACACGTTCTCGTCAAGCGCGCTATTCTCCGATTAATAGACTGATGTTGAGTTTTAATGCTATATATAAATTATCACATAAGAATAGTATTGGTGCCATAATGACTAATGATAACAAAAATAAAGATAGAAAAGTTGATATTGACATATTTTCAGTTAATCTTTGGAAATTTAAACGTGATTTATTACATTTATATTCCTCAAATAATTGTAATTCACAGTAAAATTATATTATTTTTCTTTAAGCTAAATTGTGATTAGGAAATGATTTTATTTTTGTTATGTTTAACGTTCATAAAACTTCTAATGTTAATAACAATAGTGGAATATGCATGATTTAATTTAATTAATTGTATAACACTAAATTCTGATATATTTATTGATCTCTTAATTTTTGTATTCAATTTAATTCACTGCATATGTTTTACTTGTGTCTATTTTTTTTGTATTATGAAATGTGTGTAACACCTATAATTGTCTACACTTAGTTTTTATGATTTTTTGCAAAAATATTATGCTTTTGTTAGTGTATGTCATGTTGGTGTTAAATAAATAAATAAATAAAATAAATAATAAAAGAATATTAACAATGCTATAACATTACTAATATTCCCCTTAACCACTCGTGGTAAGCTTAAATTGCTTGTGTTACGAGTGGTTCACGCCAGTAGTCGAATGACGGATTCGAACCCACGACCTTTTTGAGTTCGCGGTCCGCGCCCTGCCATTAGGCTACTGTCGCTTATTTATTTATTTGCAACAGTGAAAGTCGTTGTTGAAACTTGAACATGAAAGTTTTTGTTTGTTGACGGACAAATATCAGCATTAATTCCATTTCGTTGAAGAAAAGTTGGAAACAGTTAAGTATTGACTGACCTAAACAAGTTTATTAAGGCGGCTGGAAGCATTAATTCCATCTCACCCCGCGAGTGAGGTTTTATAAAATTTAAATGCCAATCAAATTTACAGTCACCTAATGGTAAGTGACTACCGCAGCTAATGGACTCCTGAAACTACTACAAATAAAGAAAGCTACAAAAGTGTTTTCACTTCTGAGGACTAAGATGGAATACCTCGGAGCCTGTAATTATATAGGATCTTATCAACACACCGAACACAGCAGTGCAAGTACTGCGGTTTCGCAGCAGAAAAGGGTAAGAGGGTTGTGCCTAACCAAATGGACTCCCAGGTCGAAAAGCAGTCTTATTATTTAGAAAAATTGTTTTAACTATACCGAATATATAGTAACTATACATTTTCCAGACCGACAATGTGTGAACATAGCCTGATTTACCCACAGGCTGACTAGGCTGGAGTATAGGCGAATGGTATGAGGGGGCACTGAGCTTGATATTATGGTGTTTTACCAAGGCAAAACTTGCAACTTATATCAGCCATCTGTTACATTTCTGTACAGGGAAAACGACTCACTGCCCGAAGTCATGAGCCCCATAACCACAACTCATATCGAAAAGGAGAAAGGTTCGATCGATCTTTTAGGTTTTCTTTTTGAGTCGAACACAATCGCCTCCTTGTTCTCCAAAATAATAGAATCTTCCAGCATTTATAAACTTCCAGCTCATAAGATTTACCTGACTCATAGATAAGCTGAAGCGGTAGAGTTTAATAGAGAGACCTTGATATTTACTTTGGTCTTAGCGAAGGCCTTCGAGGAGTTTTGGCACAAAGCACCTCTTTAGGAGAACTATTAATGCTAATTTAGAGACTATTATTAATGCTAGTATTCCACAAGACTACGTGCTATCTATACGCTGTTTCTTCTGTATATGAATTATATATTGTTGTTACTGGTTGTAACACTAGTGATACTTTTTACATCGAAAGTGCTAATATATTTCGGGAACACGTCACCAAGTATCGGAACAAACTTGTAGTTGAAGTTGAGTCTTTAATAAACAAAACCTTGAATTTGGGACCACTATAGTCTAATTTAAGCTTCAGAAAACTTAAGTTTGAGCGTTTACCGCTAAAACTCTGTAGCGCCTCAACCAATATCGGAATCCTTGGCATAGATCTATTGAAAAATGTACAGTTTCGCATTCAATTGGATGGCTAAATTGGCCAATAAAAAGCTTGGCTAAGTTCGCACTCACATGGAAAATTGTTCTCATGTCTAGAAGGGAGCTACCTAGTGCACGCTCCTTCCACTTGACCATGTCCAGAGTAGAGAGAGTGGTGAGAGTGGATAGTGGATTCTATCACGCCACCATAGGTGCCACATGGTGTTACAATAATCGCTTAATACCAATAACAAATTGCTGGCTCGGTATCGCAATCGCTTAGCAATAAACTGCGAGGCTATGGTTTCGATTCCTGCACGGACGGATGTTGGTCCATTTGCTTTCATAAGCATGTAAAGCGCTTCCACAAAATGGGAACAAAACCCTAGTATGGGGATAACGTTAATAATTTACTATTGAAGAAGTAATACGAAATAAATTAGTTAATTATTACGTTATTAAGAAAATTTCATTTTTTAACGTTTTCTTTATTAATATTTGAGAATTCCTTAAATCCTTTATTTGTTTTTAATATCCGACCTTAAAAAAAGGTTTGCAACTCGACTGTTCGTTTTTATATGTATGTTACGCGATATTCCGTCAATTGTGAAAATTATGAGAAAAAATTAAATTGAAAAACATGAAGAAGCCAACTCGTGAGGGTCTTATTGCGGTAGTCGTCGGTACCGTCACCAATGATGTCCGTCTATACAAGGTCCCCAAGCTAACGGTGGCTGCATTACACGTTACTGAGGAGGCTCGTGCTCGTTTCCTGGCTGCTGGAGGAGAGATCCTTACTTTTAATCAGCTGGCCCTCCGTGCCCCTACTTGGCGCAAGGCTGTGTTAATGCAGGGCCGCAGGAACGCTCGCGAAGCCGTGCGTCACTTTGCTCCGCGCCGGGAGCGCCTCGCTCGCACACCAAGCCTTATGAACGCTCAAAGGGCCATGAACGTGCTCGACCGAGCCGTCGCCCTAATGTGTAATCTTTTAATATAAGAAGTAATATCGAGAAAAAGGAGTGGTGTTTTTAATGTAAATTTAGACAAAATTCCAGTTGTAACATTCTGTTTGGACTTTCCTTAGTAGTTGTAGTTCACTATACCCAGCAAAAACTTTGAAGATTTTGAAGAACTATAAAGGATTAAATAAACTCCACACAATAGCTTTTGAAGTCGGGTTTCGATTTTTCCTTTTTTATATAGAATAAGGGTGACTACGAACACACAGTCCACCTGATCCTATGTGGATGCTGTAGCCCATATACATGTACATCTATCCTCGACCAAGAGTCAAAATGCAGAGGCGTTGCCATGCCTGAGCAAAGACGAAATGACTCGTTTCCACTAAAAAGGCCCTCCGGTTTTCTACACTTACCATAAAACAGCAAAAACTGTTATTTTACGCTGATATTCTGTGAAAGTGTGGTCCTTCCTCGCTCGAGCCGAACCATTTGTGCTACAAATATGATGTATCAGCAGCATACCCCTTTAAACATTTTTATTTAGTTCTTTAAAGCCGGCGTTTACTTTTCAATAAAAGTTTTATTTTATTTTAGCATCTATAGTAAAACACCTAATACAATGAAATGGTCTAAGTTAAACTTGATGGGTGCAATAAAGTTGACAGTGTTAATAACGTAATGGATTGCGATAGATCCTCATAAAACGTTGTAATACTTATCGTGCTATTAAGTTCTTATCAATAATTCTAGAAAAGTTTTCTTTCCTTTTAAATGCTAATTGTAAAAAAAATAACTTAAATGTTAAATGTAAAAGCGCCATGTAATTCTTACAAAATGACTGTCATAATTGCTGTTTGGCAATCGATTTTTAAATCACAAAAAATTATTTTATCTAAAAGATATTTCTTTAATTATCATCTTTTCGATAATGGTAGAAATAGCAATAATAATTTAAACAGCTAAGTTCAAGACTTAAAATCACAGATCTTCTTCAAACACATGAACCACCTTAGGAACTTTCTTCGTGTCAAGGTAAAGATAACTCTGGTGTAATTTCTTATTTTGACCGTTATTGAGTATGCTGATGTATGTTTTCCTGATCTTAATGATCTCGTTAATAACTTTATCCGTTATATGTTTCGTCTTCGCAAGTTTCATGATGTATTCCGCCCTCAGCTTAAATGGCTTCAAATTCGTCAGCGAAGACACATTAGGATACTTAACACAGTTTTATCTATTTTATTCGATAACCGTTATCCGAATTATCTGAAACATAAGTTTCAGTTCCTGCGTGTCACTCATGACAGAAAGCTTCGTTCATCGGAGACTCTTGCTCTCTTTATGGGGTATAAATTCACCGTTCGAGTTTCATGTCGTCATCGTTTGCTGACCAAGCCGCGCGCTTATGGAATGTAGACTGAAAAATTAAGACAACCTACCTGCAAACAAACATTTAAGAAGAATGTTCGGGCTCATTTTTTTAACTTGCTTTAGCTAAGCTCCGTCATCATTATAGTTGTATATTACTTTCATCAGTATATTATATATCTTTGCACATCCTATATTATAATATATATATATATATATATATATATATATATATATATTTTTTTATTATATATATATATATATATATATATATATATATATATATATATATATATATATAAATGTAAAGTAAAGTTACAGCCTATATACGTCCCACTGCTGGGCGCAGGCCTCCCCCTCATTTCTGAGAGGGTTTTAGGGGAAGGAAGTGTCCGCCGCGCTGCCCCAATGCCTGTTGGCGAACTTCACATGTCTTAGTAATATTTTTTTTCTTTTATCCCTCAGACATGCAGGTTTCCTCACGATGTTTTCCTTCACCGCGCCGAGCACGTGGTAAATCAGCACTTAAAATTGCAATTAACAAATTAATTGGTGCCGGCGGAGATCGAACCCGGGTTACTCGCGTTCTGTTATAATTACAGCGAGCGTTAACCAGAGCTGAGCTACCTATATATATATATATATATATATATATATATATATATATATATATATATATATATATATATATAGCCCTCGTAGATCTATCAGTGTTCTAAGATTGACTGGCAGAGAACGCTTTAGCAAGTTTAAATATATAAATAAATCACACGAGAGATAACTAGTGAGAGAGTAGTCCAGAAATATACATATATTTGCCAGCCATATGAACTTTATTTTATCATCCTATTATAGTCTACTTTAGTATTTGGAGGAATTGTCTTTATCACACTTGGCAGCGAACAGATCAATCGCAACACCAGGCGTGTCGAACCAATGACCAATGATCTCAGTTAAAGAAGGTCTCGGGTTCTCAACACCCACCATAGGAAACACAGTAGCATTAAACTGCTATTTGACGTTGGTATTCTGTGAGAGTCTGATTCTGCCCCAGTCAAGCCGACTCATTTGTGCTGCAGCCATAACAAAGCTGCAGTGTTGCTTTCCAATAATTTATAATCAATTATGTTTTTAGTAAAAGAGACCATTTAACACAGACGTCTTTTACGAAAACCACGAGACCAAACAGGATACCAAATACTCACTTCTTATATATTGGGATGGTCAAAAAAGATCTCTCAAATCTTAAATAAACTAATAAGCTTTATAAATGTGGTGGTGGAGCCACGTGTCTAAGGTCGCCGAAGTCTAGTTCCCCGGTCGAACCTTAAACCTATTACGCGAGATATTAATCTAAGTGGACTGTATCTACTAAATGCTTCTACGCTTATATAACGACGACTATAGCGCGTGGTACAATGCACTCGCTCTTCCCTAAAATGAACTATTATTTGCCAAATCGATGAAAGGAATCCTGCTTGATTAGGAAAACACAAAATTGGAGCGGGTTAAAACAATTATATCAAGCAGGCTATAATAATATTGGATATGTTGACTCACCGGGATGTTCTTCTATGCGGTCGAGCACTATAACTGCGACTTTTCGAACTTCTTCTGGAACACTCCGGAGAGAGGCGGTGCGCGACTGTATCTGACACGAGGTGAGGCGGGTTTCCTGGAGCTCGACTGCTTCCAGGCTAAAGCGGTTCTAATAGTGGTGTGGTTTCAACAACGAGCGCGGCGGGAAGAGGCTGCGCGTCGGTCGCGCGTGCCTTATATATCCTCGGTTCCGATGATTACGTGACATTCTAGAATCATCTTCTTTCCCCTCCCACCCCACCACCCCGATGTGTCGATAGGAGGGTATGAATGATATCGTTTTGGAATGGGATAACCGATTTGGCCGCCTAACGTCAAATTAAATAAATACGAATGGTTTTCCGCGCAACCATGTGGTATTTAGAGCTGGTAAAAAACGGATTCTTTTACTACAGACCGTATTAGAATACTCAATGCCTAGAGCGTGCTATGCTCAGGATTTTTATAGTCGACTTCTTCGGTCGGTTTCTTTAAGCACGTTGGGCACTTTTAGGATGTGGAAAAGTACTGAATTCGCGTGACCGTCACGCTCAGATACATATGTACAAAAATAATGGTAACAGGTTTGTGAGGCTAAGAATTTTCACTTTTTACGTGCAGTCCTACGTCTGACAGTTTTTTTCTTCATGATGGAATCCACAACAAGACTCCTTGCGGTAGAACAAGTGTAAAAGACCTAGCCCATCTGATCAGTGGACCAGTGATCCGAAGAAGAATTCATAAACAATGAGCAAGAGAGGTTTCTCGTCTAAGTAATCTTACCTGATGGTCAACCCGAGATCGGAGATCCTCAGGGGTGACAATGCACCTGTATTTTGATTCTAGATGTCTATGGGCCACAGCATCCACTTACCATCACGTGAAATGTGTGCTCGTTTATCATCCTTATTATATAAAAAACGTGCAACAATAAAAAATTTTGGAATATAAATATAACAGTAATCACGTAACCGAATACAACTTACTATACTAATGTTGATCGTCATCTAATCAATAGCCTTGAAGTAAAAGCGGAATAGAACATAAACATTTCGGACTTCTGAACGCTGAATAATCTAATTGGATTTTTCGTTTAACCCCTAAGCGGAGATGTAAAAATAATAAGAAAAGTTTCTCAATTTCATACGCCGACAAATTCACTGTCTTATTTATACAACAAATCATACAAAACTTTCCGCCTCTTTTTATTGTCGCTGTTTTATTAACCTTCGTCAAGTTTGCATTATAATTGAGCAAAGGAATAACTGAACCAAGAAATAAATTGTGGTTGCGGGCGAATTCCATATCCACCAGCAGACTTTCACTAGCTGATGAAGAAGAATAATAAGAAATCACGTGGAATAAGTCGTCTTTCGTTGCTATATTCTGCTTATGAATCGAAATAAGGTTTACCGTGGCGCCAACACAAATACTACAGGCTTTATCGGTCGATTTTCGTTGGTGCAATCAAATCCATTAATTAGTTTATTAATTACCGATGACCTTCAGATTATAGTTTATAAGCTGATGAATCAGTCCTCAAGGGTGAGAACGGATCTCTATTTTGATCTTTACTTTAAGGTTGATGTTGTTGTTTGTAGGCTATTTTCACTTACTATTAGATGAATTGTGCTTTTATTTGTCAACCTTATTTCTACAAAAAATATATTTAATGATTACATATATTTATCATATATTGATTATAGACCTAAATACATAAACACTCTCGCCTGTCACCCAGAGCTCCATTTACCACGATCCTGACACACCTCTCTCCTCCTCCATATCCATATACCTACGCATACATGCTCGTCGGTTAAGATTAATCCTAATTTGGTCCATTTTCAATATATCGTCAATTGGTCAATAAACTTTCGCTTAGGACGTCCATTTCCGACTCTGCAGCATAAATTTGCGTTGTCACTCTTTCCTCATTCATTCTTTCTACATGACCAAACCACCGAAGCATTTCCTTCTTAATCCTGGTCACATCATCTAGCAAACTACACTCTTCTCTTATAACACAATTTCTCACCCTGTCACATAGATTCAGCCCTAACATATTCCTCAACGACCGCATTCTACTGCA